ATTACCATAATCTGTCTTGTAAAATTTTATGAATCTTTATATAATTATTTAAGCCACATGCATACATATGTAAGTGCCATAGCATTTAGGTGTAGAAAATACTCTCAAGATGTGTAGTCAAAGAATCGACGTTGGATAGTTTCATTATGCATAAAAAACAACACTTTGTACTACTTTACCCATGGAACAAATTAATCACTTATAGTTAATTTAGTTCTTCACCGATGAAACGAAGAACTGGAGTTTTGGCCGGAGCAAAGGAAAAATTAATGTGGCGAGTTTGAACTTTGATGCCGGGGGAGTGTTTGCGTAAGAAGAGTCCCTAAAGATGTAAGATCAGTATAGGCTCCTCAGCAGATCAATCTTTTTTTTTGTCATTATATATGTTCCACTGTGTATTTGTACATTTTTTTTCTGCCCCATACCACCAGCATAAGCGGGTTTATTTCTACAAAAAACGATCATCATGAGGTGCAAGATGTGGTACGTTTTCATCTAAAATGGACCTGAGCCTCAACATTGGTTTTAAGATTCCAACTCGACACACGTCAGTATACTAGCTATATTTTACATATTCCAATTTCGATAGACTATATATGCATCTCTGCCAATAGACTGACACTATGAAATAATATACACACACCTACACACATCATCAATCTGTCGTCTACTAGCTTAGTCTGTTATCGATCCGGAATTTTAGCTCCAATAATGCGGGTGAATCGAATCTGGAGGAACATATACAAATTAAAGAAAAGCTCTGGATCGATCTAGTCTTCGAGCCCCAACGGCGTTTTTAGTTATTACTACTCCGATCGATGTGGGGCGTTAGCTGACAGCTGACAGCTTGATGGGTTCAAGATAATAAGATACAGGCAAAATTGGTTTTATAGCATCAGAAGTTTACGTTTTTGCTTTTATAGCACCGAAAGGTACCGGTTCATTTTATTAGCACCTAAAGTTTACCCCGTTTTCGTTTTTAACACTTCCGTCAATTCTCGATCGTTTTCCGTCTCCCTTGACGGCTAGTGCGCAGGCAGGCAACGATGGGGTGGGCGCTGGCAGCCGGCCGCCGCGCACGGCCTTTGGGACGTCGTGGGGCAGCTGCAGGACGCCGCGGCAAGGTCGTCCGCGTGGAGCGGCGGCAGGGCTGTGGCACAATGCCGTGGCAACATCGCACGGGTGGACTGGTGGTGAGGCAGCGGAACAGCACCGTCGCGAGGTCGCCTCATCGTGCGGCTGGCCGCGAGAGTGAGAGAGGATCGAATTGATTTAGGTTTTAGTGAGGGGTAGAAACGTTGTGTGTGGCTGGGTCATTAGCCGTCAAGGGAGACGAAAAACGATCGAGAATTGACGGAAGTGTTAAAAATAAGAATAGAGTGAACTTTAGGTGCTAATAAAGTGAACCGGTACCTTTCGATGCTATAAAACCAAAAACGTGAACTTTCGATGCTATACAACCAATTTTGCGTAAAATATATGGCCTTGAGATTCCAAACCCACATAGAACAGCGACGGCAGCTGTAACCATCGGTGGGAACCATACATGGTCCGATCGAGTATAGGTTGAGGATACCAACAATTTAACAATTTAATCCTTTTGTTCAAATTAAACATTTATAAGTTTAAGTTTAATTTGAATTAAAGGATTAAATATAACTTTGATCTAAAGGATTAAATTGTTAGGTCATGCTTAAAAACCTTTTTAAAAATAAATTGTGACCTTAGTGTCAATGGCTTTGGAGCAGTGGTTTCCTTTGGTTCAAATTAAACATAAACATTACCAATTACCATAGTAAATTTAACAATTTGACGTTATCGATGTTTTAGGAGGAGTAAATATATATAATGGTTTGGTTCAAGGCCAAATAATTGGCAATGTTTATGTTTAATTTGGCACACACATTTATAAGTTTCTTCTCACCATAGTATGAAATTTGGCATCATTTTAAGAATGTGTAGTTATTTCCTTCTACACTACAATGTTTATGCACTCCACATCTTAAAATCCTTCTCCGCATTAATGTTTATGCACTCCACGTATTAAAATGCAATGTAAACAATGTAAAAAAACTCCAGGTAAATTGATGGGATGGATAATCAGTCTATTGCTTAGGTTGTGTCTACTTAAGTTCGAGGTGATGACTAGACTTTTTATTTGGAGTAATAAAAAAAACTCTTTATTTGGTTTATAACACTACTAACTTGTTTATTTTGTCAAGTCTTGGGTAAGTGTGTTTTACCCTACGGATGTTTTGATGGGTGAGAATAGTAGTATTAACTAGCCTGGTGACGCGTGCAATTGCATGCGGCTAACAACCACAAAAATTATTTATATCTTTTTATGCATGATTTTCTTTAAAGTTTTTTAAATATTCATGTTGTTGTTTTAGTATTTAAAAAACGAACTTTGTTAACATTGGGTTTCAAATTTTATAGTTTTTGAAAATACACTCGCCACTCCATTATTTGCTTGCCTGGTCTACTATGGATTATATTCATCCTCCTTGAGACTTTTTAAAATCGAACATTGTAGGATTTGAAGTTTATTGTATTTTTGAGTTCCATTTTAATACTTTTTAGACGTCCCACTAAACACCTCCATTGTACTCCTTTATGGCTCGCTTGTTGCCCCCATCTTTATTATTATTGGGATTTTAAAAATCAAACTTAATCATCATTGGGCTTTTTTTGGTACTTTTTAGAAGTCCCATCAATCACCGTGACCTTACTACTTCATGGCTAGCCTACCACCCCTCCTCTTACTCGTTTGAATTATAAAAATCAAACACAATCGTCATTGGAATTTTGTTTTTTTAGTTTTTAGACTAGTTGCCCATCAACTGCCAGTCTGCCGCCACCCTACTCCTTTTACAGCTCACCTGCAGCTCCCCGACCCTCTCTATTATCGTTTGCTACTATTGTATTCCTTAGTTTTTTATTTTGAATTTTAGTTATTTCTAAATCATCCTTCTTGAACTCTCATTTTTATTTTTCTAATCTTAGCATTTATTTTTTATTTTGAATTCTAATTAATCTCGTGTTGTGTTCTATAAGGTCTCTTCTTTCAATATTTTTTATTTTTATTTTGAATTTTAGTTATTTCTAAATTTTATTTGAACTTGAACCCTTATTTCTCTTTTTCTAATTTTGGAATTTATTTTATTTTTATTACAAATTTTAGTTAATCTTCTAACTGGACTGTTCTTACAATATCTCTTATTTTTATTCCGAATTTCAGTTCTTTTTAAATTATATTTATATTTAAAATTTTTTTCTCCGATTTATGTGGGAATTTTTAGCCTCCACAACCAACATAGTTTATTCTGAATTTCATTTATTTATAAATTATATTTTTATTTGAACTCTTTTTTTCTTTTTCTTCGAATAAAGTAAAATTTCTAGCTTTCACAATAAACATGGTGCCTCTTTTTAAGGCTATCTTAATAATATAATAAATAGATATATTGTATTAATATTATTCAAACAACTAGTGAGTACTATTTCCACTACCAAAATATTTTGTAGTGAAAAACAACCCAACCCTGCATATACACTTCATCCCTTCATAAATATAAGTATTTTTACCTTATAAAGTTAGCAAAATTTGCTCCATGAAACCGTAGAATTATCACATTACTCTAGGATACTCTAGTTTTGTGATTCTTCTTACAAAAGACACTTCAACAATTATTCTAATATATCCTATTCCAATACAGATATACAAAACTTTGCAAAAGACAATTGCGCTTCTTCCAGCTGTAGCCCGGGAACACCGGCAAATACATTGTGTGGGTTGAAAGTACGCCACGTGCAGGATGTGGGGCAGCGTGGCTGGCGCACACGAGGCGATACGGACCTAGCCTGGAGCGCCCAACGGTGGATCCGCTCGCCCCTATGCTCGCAATGGTGGATTTGGCCGCCCCCGAGTGCCTCGTGGCGGATCCGCCCACCCCCGTGCTCACGGCGGCGGATCCAGCCCCATGGTCATGGCGGCATTGATCGGGGCGGTGGTGGCATCTAAGGAGGAGAAGGAGCGCCCGACAGCGGGGAGGAGGGGATGACGGCGGGGTGGATGGGGGGAGGATGAAAAGAATGAGCTGAGGGTGAACAAGGGCTCGACTAGATAAAGCAAGCTGGTTCGGTCGATCCATTTTTTATTTTTCTAATTATAGGTATCGGTTTTTTGAAGAACTGGTACCTATAACATTAGTATAGGTGTCGGTCTTTAAAAAAAAGATACTAATAGTATAGGTATCTATTTTTGTCTAAAACCGACACCTATAGCTTCTTAAAAGTGTCAGTTTTTAATTTGTTCATCCCGTGACGATGGAAAACGGCCAATAGATACTGGTTTAAAAGAACCGGCACCTATAAGCCGACTTCTATTAAGGTTTCTGGTTTCTGTAGTAGTGTTATTATGGCAACCAATAGGGCTCTATGGTCCTATTTGGGAAAGCTTTTAGCTGCTGCAGCTTCTCCAAAAATCAAAAACTCCTTAAACAGTCTAACTTTTAGACCAGATTTTGAGAAACTATAGTTGTAGAATTCAAAAAATGAACTAGAAGCCAGAAGCGGGAAAACTCAGCTTTTCCAGATTCTCAGAAGCTAGCTACTAACTAGTTATTTTTCAGAATTTTAAGCTTCCCCAAACAGGCCCTATATGTACAGTAAAAGGATAGATTAATTTGTGACGATGCGGCATGACTAGAAATCATTAGGACTCCCTCCGTTTAAGCTTTGATTTTTTTTCTTAGTTAATTTTTTTAATATGATGACGTTTATAGATAAATTATAGTAATATTTTTAACACCAAATAAATATAGTAACAAAATATTGAATATATTCAATGTTCTTTTTAGTTAAACTAATTTGGTATTATAAAAGTTGATATGTTTGTCTACAAACTTGATCAAATTTAGAGAAGTTCAACTTATAAAAAATAGTCAAAGCGTTTTATAATATGAAACGACAAAGATAGTATTTATCTAAAGTTAGTGGGTACCACATTTCTGTAAGAATATATCCCAGTACGATACTTTTTTTGAACTAGGAGAGCTCTGCTCCACCATTTCCATTAACAGAAATAATAACGGGTTCACAACACACCCACTACAAAAGCGAAGAAAAGAACACAAAAGGGAAACGACCACAACCTCCTCCCCCGCCCCCTAATCCAGGTGCCATCCGACCATGGTTGGGGTGAAGGGAATTACACACAGTCCCTTAAACATACCCAACAAACATTCAGACAACTTTCCAGCCATTATATTCCTAAGAACATAACAACCCATACTTTCTAACAAAACCCAAAAACTCAGCCATTGGCTCATGTTTCAACACCCCCCCCTCCCCAACCAATGCTTGAAGATCCTTCCAGCTCTGAAACTCCAACCATACCGGGCACTGTAGAATTTAGCGGCTACCTACTAATTAGCACCCTGGCCCCCTCCAGCAAGATTCTTGCCTCTTCCTCCTTGTTCTGCAAAATCGCCCAATTTTCTATATTATGCGCAATCTGAAAAATCACCTCCATAGGATCATTTTGAATTATATGATCGAAGCAAGCCCTGTTTCTGATTTTTCAGATGCTCTACAAAATGGCAGCTATTCCTATTGAAACCAGATTCCTATTCTTTTTAGAGAACTTGTTTAACCATCCCCCCATTACTTCTTTTAACCCCACAGGTATAGGCAAAAACACAATGCATGGTATGCCACACAAAACGTGCTAAACTGAACTAAAAAAACAAATGATTTATGCAGGTTTGTTGCAAAACTGACACTTTGCAGTGCCCTTCTTCCATCCTCTTTTAATAAGATTGTCTTTTGTCAAAATACTATTTTTTTAAGCCAACCAAATAAACACTTTGATTTTAGTAGGAACCTTAAATCTCCAGATTTTCTTAAAAGCAGGGGCGGATCTAGAAAAAAATAGTAGTGGGGGCTAAATAAACTACATCAGCATAAATCGAACCTCCAGTCCCCACATCCTATGGATCTATGAAAAAAAAATTTAGTGGGGGCTTAGAGGGGTCTCCACTTGTAGCGCCCGTTCCGTCGTGGCACCTAGCGGGAAAATTATCTCCTAAAAAAAACCTAATTGCGAAATTTGTTTCTTCACTTGTCGTCAAGTGTCCGTGCCATCTCAAGATCTCAAATCCCCGATCTATCGTCGAGTTCAAATCCGAATCCAAATCCTTCCAAATCAAATTCCTCCACAAATGTCTATTTTGCCTCCCCCGGGTCGATGGGCCGAATCTCGCTCGGCCCATCTCTCTCTCCCCTCCCCGGCGCGCTCCCCCTCCGCTCCGCCCCGCCCGCGCGCCAAGCGCCCCCTCCCCTCGCTCTCCTTCTCCTCTCCCTGGCGAGCGCCCCGCTCGCGAAAGACGGCTCCCGCGCGCCGTTGTTCGCGCGCGCGCCCGCGTGGTTCCCCGCCCGAGCCGCGTCGTCTGCGCCGTCCGTGTCGCCCGGTCCCGCTGCCCAGCCGCGCCGCCCGTTGTTTCCCCGCGCGCGCGTGCCGAGTGGCCGACCGCCTGGTCGCCGCCGCCGTCACCCTCTGCCGCACCAGCCCGCGCCTGTCGCCCGTGTCGTCGCGCCGCTCCAAACTGCCCCGCCGTCATCGCCGTCGTCATCGCCTCGGCCCCGCCACTCCGCGCGCAAGCCCCCAAGGGACGGAGGCCGAGCCCTCTTCCCCCTGCCGCGACGCCCCCGTTCCCCTCCTCCTTTTTCCCAAATCGGCAAAGGGGCAAGCCCCTTTCTCCCCCTCCTTTTTCCCCTTTTCCTCCCGCCGGCGTCATCCCCCCTTCCTCCTGTCGCCGTTTTGGCTGCTAGCCGGAGCGCCAGCTCGCGCCTTGACCGCCAAAGTCGGTTTCCAAACCGACATTGCCGCCCCCTATAAACTCCGGCGCCCTCCTTTCCCATTCTCCCCTCCAATCTCCCTCGTTTTCGCCTCCGCGCCATTGCCGCCCCTCTGTTTCGCCATCGCCGTTCGTCGTTGCGCGTGTCGGAGGAGCCGGCACGAGCAAGGACGCGGAAGGGGACTTCGGCCGCGCCCTCTCCTTCCTCTTCCCCGGCCCGAGGCCGGAGAGATTACTCCCACGCCGTCGGCCTCTCGTCGCAGTGCCCCAACCCGCACGGTAGTGCCTCTCTCCGTTCTCCCTCCTCGCTTCCTCTCCCCCCCTTAGTTTTCGGTGATAGCACGAGTAGCCACCCCGTAGCTAGCCGGCGCCGCCCCGACCGTTGCCGTCGCTCGCCGTGTGCTCGCCGCCGTCGCCGCTCGAGTTCCGTAGCACCCGCTCGTCGCTCGGTGTAGCTCCGCCCAATCCGACGCTAGTATCGGATTCCTGTGGCCGCATAAATGCTCTCATCGCCGGGAATCGACCCCTCGTGACCTCGTCGCCGTTTCCCTCTCCCCTCCCCGCCGGTTGCCGCCGCCGCGATTCGCCGCCGTCAAGCTTCCTCCGGCGAATCCGAGCCGTTGGCTCGTCTCCCCTCGTCTCGTGCAACCACCCGGTGTGCTCGCTTTCGCCGGTATCGCCGTGGTTCGCTCCGCCGCTCGCCGCTGTTGTCCGCCGTCCGTTCCGGCTGGCGTTGTCGTCTACCTCCCGCCAGCCCACGTGGCAGCCACGTAGGCGCCACGTCGGCGCCAGCTCAGCCGAGGTCGGGACGGGCCGACCCCGGTCAGCCCCTCCCGTGCGCGCGTTCCACCGCAAGCCGTGAGGCTGCGCGTGGGCCCGCCGCATCCTTTCCACCGTGAACCGTGCGCGTGCACCGCGTCCCTTCCCGCCCGCGCGCGTGCGCCGCGTGCTCCCTCCGCACGGTGAGCCGAGCCGCTGACAAGCGGGTCCCACCCGGGACCGCGCACGGTGGGCCCGGTCCACCGGCTCTCTCTCCTCCCTCCCGCGCACGCGACCGTCTTGGGCCGCCTTGGGCCGGCCGGCCCATTTAGCTCGGCCGGTCCGCTCCAATTCCCTTGGGTCGCGCCCTATCCGCCCGAGGAAAAGTCTATAATCCCTCCCTCTTTTCTTTTCTCTTCTTTTTCTTTTCCAAAAAGGATTTAATTAAATCCTTTTCCTTTAGACCAAAAAATCCAATAATCTTAGAAATTCAATATCTTCCCAACCGTAAATCCGTTTGACTCCGTTCAACTTCCAAAATTCCTCAAATCTCGAGATCTATCTAATGGCACGCTTAGAGGTCATTAATAGGGCCTTATTTTCACCGTTTGTTGAGTTGTCCCGTTTCGCGTGTAGTTTCGGAGCCCGAAGACCCGCAGTGCGAGGATTTCGAGGATCAAGCTCCAGATCTCGAGCAAGGCAAGCCACCTTTGAACATCTTGAGCCTATAATTGAAATTTAATTATGTTGCTTGAAAAATATTATGCATTAATAGGACCGTACTTAATCTGTTTGTCCCATCTGCAAGGCAGATTGGCGGACCTACCTAGTTTGTTGCATTGATCCTCCCTTTGTTAATTGTTATATCATGTCCCCTTGTAACCATCTAGTTGCGTCTCGATATTCGTGCACCCTGTGCGAGTATCGACGGACGCCTTCAAACTTATAATCTGAATAACAACTTGGGTAAAACTTGGGTTTTACAAAAGATTTGGAAAACCCGACACCTGGGTCGGTGCTTGCGAACTAAATGAATTTCCAAAACCGCGGACCGGGGAACGTACCGGGTGTACGGTTTCCCGCTCTTGCACTTAAGGACCGTTTCCTTGGAATTTCATCCGAACATAAGACAAGTACGACCACATGGGTGGAATGGGACACCCCTGGCTGAGTAACTAGCTTATCAGGGGAGCCTTGATGCCGAGAGACATGTTGATTCGCCGGGGTGGTGTCGGGGAGGACCCCTGGGCTTCCTGGCACAGTATGATCTGGGACCTAACCTGTTGTTCGTCTGGGACCCCTCTCGTCGGCATATGGTAAACCTGTGTCGGCATTGGAAATGCCTTGTCATGAAAGCTTGGAGGTCTCCCGACGTGGCTGATCCCTACGGGCTGGGTGATCCGGGTTAGTAATGTCGTGTGGGTAAAGTGTACCCCCTCTGCAGAGGTCATTAAACTGTTCGAACAGCCGTGTCCACGGTCATGGGCGGATGTGAGGTGATTCCTAGCGTAGTTTTGTTTGACTACTGCTTGTGAAATTGCTGTTGTGGAAAGGGGTTCGATGTTTGAAAAATCTGCAGCTGATGGGATCAGCTAGGCCCGGGTGGCCGTTTGAAGGTTGTTGGCCCGGGTGGCCGTTTGAAAAGCTGTTGGCCGGGTGCCAACCTTGATTCAATTCTAAAGACTGATACATTGCACAAACTCCGACCGGACGAGACGCACTGTCTCATCCGTGTCGTTTGAGAAGCACTCACTTAGTTGTTTTTAGAAAAGAGTTCAAATAAAATCAATTGCAAAAACAACAGCCTTTCCTTGAAAGCCTGCATTAAACACTTATTTCCCATGGCTTGCTGAGTACTCCCGTACTCACCCTTGCTCTATATAAATAATCCCCCCCCAGTTGCTGAAGAAGATGAAGCGGACCCTGCTGAAGAGGAGTTCTTCCAGGAGCAAGCCGGCTACGATGAGTTTTAGGGTTTCGGCCTAGTTCCCAAGTCGCGCCTGTGTTGTTTGGCCCAAGTCTTGGCTTCCGCTTCCCTTTTGTAACGCAGTTGTGAGCTCGGGATCTGTCCGCAGCCCAACATGACTGTACCTCTACTCTATAATAAAGAGACCTCTGTTGCTGTGATATTCTGTCTCCCTGTGATACCAGCACTGTTTCCTGGGACTGGTATCGTTTAACAGGTTAATTTAGAGCGTCACGGGCTAGTTCCGGTCGGGACTAGTTCGGGGCGTGACAAGAGACTTGTTCGGGGCGTGAGGGTGGCCATTTCCATGCGCATTATGCTGAAAACTGGCTACGGCTGCGGCTAAACCTTGCAAGATATGTGTTGGTCTGTGAGGGCAGTCTATGACCTATGAAAGCTATCAGATGTAAGCGGGCCTGGCCTGGGGGAAGGCGGGACGTTACAAAATGGTATCAGAGCCGACTCTCGCGGTTTCACAGGCACGTGTGTCGCAGTTGCGCAGGCATGGTGCGCATGGCTGGTGTAGACCGGGAGTGGTTACACAGCATGGCACATGCGCTGGCACTGGACACATGGACGTGGCCAAGAGAGGACGTTCCTAGCCTAGGGTTGATCGACGGGGGCGTCGATCTCTCTTAAGGGGGTGAGGGTGTAACATCCCGGCCTAGGGCTTAATAGGATTAATAGAATACTCATATCAACAAGTTACAAGTTCTTTTCCGGAAGCCAACCCCATTTTTTGTAAGTGTCCAAATGAGTTTGTCCTTCCTATTTTGCAAAACTTTCCCATTACAAAGCTTTTTAAATTGTTCCCATTTCACAGCCCTATCCCCCCTATTGTCCTTCTGAAATTAAAGGGCATCCCAGCCCATATCAAAGACCTTTGCTATTGACACTTTTTTTTTGTGAAAGTTATATTATATAAGCCTGGGAATTGTTCAGCCAAAGGCCTGTCTCCTATCCATGTGTCTTCCAATCCCAGTACGATACTAGTGAAGAAAAGATCATGCATGCGCATGTGATTTATCTGTACCTATCTCTTATGCTCGGATATCTTCATGAGCTGAGCTTGCAAGTCGTCCAACAACAAATTCTCCTCATGAAGTTCCTGAATGAATTTATCCCTCCTCTGCAAAATAACTTAGTAAAATGAGGGCCAAAAGACTATATACAACTGGGTAGGAATTAATTCACAAGAGAATACGTACATGAATGAAATATTCAAAAAATCGTGCAATAAATAAGTACATAGATAAAACGGTAAAGAAAAACAAAAGAAAAGAATCTGAACAATGTGTTTAAATTGCAAGTACCTCTTCCAATTGCTTAGCTTCCATTTCCGCCAACTCTTCTTGTGTTCTTGTGTCGTTGGAAGCCGCAGTATCTGGAAAGTTAGATAAGAAATTAATTAATATTAATTAGTTTATACTTATTAGATTATGAAGCAAGCTACGGACGGGGATGGGAATTGCGCAATTCGGTAGTAGAATTCTTTGCATGCATTAATTAATTAGCTAAATGAGAGTAAGGCCGTAAGAACCTGTTGGTTCTTCGCCGTCCCTTATCAGTGTAATTGTGGGACGTCTGGGGTGTTTCTTGGTTAAGTGCCTCAGTGCGGCTTCCACACTATGCACCTTGTCGTGGAGACGGATGGTGACATGCTCAAGTGAGAGCAGGTTCTCCAATCCGAAGCCAAAATCAGCCCTAGAGCTGAAATCGCGCAGGCTGAAACTGAACTCGACTCTCCGAACCTTTGGCATGGCTCCTCGTTGAAAATCTGGCCCGAAGGTTCAAGAGAGTGAACTCTATAAGAGAAGGAAATCACGAGCGGTGATCACGAGCGGCCTTTCATTTGATCTTGATGATATCCACAGGGAACGGAGACTCGGCAACCCTCCAAGGATCTTCAGGTCCCCCAAACGCAGCTCCGGGGCCTCGATGCATAAGTAGTAGAGTGCTGAAAGACTCCCTATCCACTCGGCCGGCAACGCGGTTCTGGTCATGGTCAATCTCCGAAGACGACGAGGTGGATCAAAGAACTTCTCCATGCGATCAAAGTTGGATGATCCACCAAAATTATCAACGACGAGAGTTTGCAGGTTTTGCAAGTTGCTCAGAGACCGCAAGAAAGCATCCTCCATTTGCTCATCCAGTTCTTCAAAGCGAATTTCAAGAATCCTCAGTTTTGTCAGCTGTCCCAACTCATCTTTAACAAAGTGAAGAGTACTCACTGAGTATAACCGCAGGTCCTCCAGGGCCACTAGGTTCCCAATCCCACTAGGCAATCTTGCAGTGCTGTCAACACAAAGGCACATCAGTTTTCTTAGGCGACAGATGCTCCGTGGCAGTTCTTGTATGCCAGTTTCCCTCAAGTCCAGTGTCTGTAGAAACTCTAGTTCTCCTATTCCATCTGGGAGCTCACTGATAGGTGCCCCCACTAGTCCTAGGTACCTCAACAGAAATAACTTTCCAACGTACTTAAGCTAGAACACGCAGAAACTTAAACCCTGACAGTAGCGGCATCATATTAGCAGAACACATACTTGCATTAAATGACCTCACGTTCGCCAAGTCAATGTTAGTCTGCAGAGTGTGGTCTTCATTATTTCCTTGGAGGGCTAACCTGCGGGGCCTACCCCTTCCTGAGGATAGCATGTTGTCTATCAGGAGAGTAACAAAGTTTTCTTCTCTTGCGAGGTAACGGAGGAGATGAAGCACCGCACCATGAACACGGCAACCATCCACCGAGTCTCTGTCACCGACCTCTACTGGCTGGATCATGCTCCTGTTTATTAGCTCCGCGAAGTAACTCTCTCCGACTCCAAATAAGCTTCTACCGCCATCATATTCAATAAAACCTTCAGCTATCCACCTCCAAATTAAAAAGTCTTTCTTGATTAAATAATCTTCTGGAAATATGCTTAGATACAACAAGCAAGTCCTTAAATGTGGCGGTAGATCATAATAGCTCAAAGACAATATACGTATCATATCATCCATAACTCTGCCATTTACATGCCCAAAAGCAATAGAATTGTATACCATATACCACTGTTCAATTGTTTTACCAGCCAATGCACCAGCTATTGTAAGGACAGCTAATGGCAAGCCATCACATTTCTTCAATAATTTGTCACGAACCTCAGCCAATTCAACACCATCGGAATTGTCTTCACCACTAAATATTCTTTTGCAGAGTAATCTTTTGGAGTTCTCAGGAGAGAGGGGCCGCATTGTATAAACATCATCAGCACTTGATGCAACTTCAAATATACGGGTTGTTGTGATTACTCTACTCCCATTATTATTTTCCAACAAAGCTAATCTGATCACCTCCCATGCTTCCATAGACCAGATGTCATCAACAACAATGAAGTATCTATATCCATGTCAAAGGGATACGAATTAGTAAAACTAATCGGTAACATGTGCATTCGCATGGGATACTTGTACTATGCACTTTGCACCTAATATTTAATAAATGTTATATGTAAACTGGTTTAAATACTCCAAAAAAACAACTTAATTTTATTAATAGTTCTCACATTCAAAATTGGATAAACAATAGAATTAATAAACACAAGGTTTTTTTACGGAGTCTTAGTTATCCACGGTTAAATATTTCCAATATTCAGAATTAATAATTAAGATGTGGGGCTTGGTTTTGAGTCTCATTAATAGTATTTTCATGGCTTATAGTTTCAAAATTCGGATCAACTAGGAAGATAGCCCACGTATTTGCGCGGGCATGTATGTAGGTTGTATTTGAGAACTTCATAAGAATGAAATAGCAATCAAATGCTCTACCATGTTTCAAAAGTCTTAATTGTCCATATATTTTCTTTATTGGCACATTTACATAATTTTTATGCTATTTGTAGGCTTTAAACTATATATATTTAATTTATTCCCATAAGCAATTATCTATAATCTTCTTCGTTATCTACAATAAAGTTAGACTTAGTTTGTTTAGAAAACATATAACAAATTAATTAAATTAAAAGTAAGGTGTTTGTATATCCTTTTTCCTAACAAATTCTGACAAAAACTATCCTCGCTAATAAATAAGTTTTATTTGCACCATCAAGCTAGCTAGTCCTCCTTCTAACAAATTAGAGAAAATCTTACAAATTCTAAGAGAAATATACAAAATATTTGATCTTGATGTTCACTTAAATCAGTGATTAGGCCATTATATCTTTATTTTAAAAAGAGTAAATTTCACAAATGTATAGGTACAATTGGGCAAAGACCCCAAATCAAATCCCCTCCCTCTCCTATGCATAGAACCCCCACCCCGTCTTCCCTATGCCGACTTGTCCCCTCCCCTTTCTCTCCTATTTTCAAGTAAAAAATTTAAGAAAAGATATCAATAGTTAGACTATAATTTGTAAACCACATATCCAAATTTTAAGCTGTATGAACCATTGTTTTCTAAAAAGAAATTTTAAGCAATAATTCAAGAACCATAATACGCAAATATTTGTAGTCCTTACTTAATATGTAAATAGCTATAATATATTGTAAAAATGTGAAATATAGTTTGTACCAAACAGTTTAAATTATCTTTGTAGTAGTATGGCACCAAAGATAAAAGGAAACAAAATAGGCTAGGCACTGGATCATGGATAAAAAAGAATGCTCCGAACGAAAATCGATTGGCCACGGAATCCTGAAAAAACGTAGATTGAGTAATTAACTGCTAAAATCCTGAATGTGTTTAGCGAAAAAAACAGGTGACACATTTTTAGACAATACTTTTTTCATTTGTGTTTTTAACAATATGTCCTGAGGAATATTTTAATTACTCATTATTTCATCTTTGAACTATCAATGTAGGCCCAATGATGCAACTAAAATCTATCTATACTCAATAATCATAGTGTGAAATGATAAGTTGATTTGATATTTGATATTATATTTTAGATCTATTTTTGACTGTGCATGTTTTGTGAAGTAATATTTTCTTTCTTATGCTACCGCCTTCACTCAATAGTTGACGCTGGTCGTCATAAAAAAATATACAGAGGAAATATAATACAAAAGAAAATGTTTTTTCTTCGGTAGTAAGCAGTACGTATGTATGCAATACATTTTTTCGCTGTATAACTTTTCCTTACTGGGTCGTAACTCGTATGTATGTATGCCTTTTTGGCCTTTTCCGGCCAAAATTTTCTATGGTAAGTATTACACGGTAAATTAGGAGAGATGGATTACTATTTAACATATCTAATCTAATGGTATAAACTAATGGGTCCACCAATTTAAATGAAAATTGAGGGTTATATTTTTTTCTTAGAATTTCTAAGATTTTTTCGGTTTTATTAGAGTGCCATATGGTAGCTTGAGAGCGTTTTTAGAGCGTCATGTGGCAGCATGAGAGGGTTTGTAGAGAGTTTAATAGACTTTTAGTATATAACAGATATATAGATTTCATAATTGCTTAAATGACATGCAAAAAATCAGAAAATGTAGCCCCAATTAATGTGATATATTTCTCTTCAAAGTTATGTATATGAGTTTTTAAATGTAAAATATCTAAAGATATAAGCGGGTCAAATATTAGTATTATGATTTAGATGTTATATTTGCTTAATTGTTTACCAAAATTTTTTCCTTTTCTAAAAAACACGAAAATAGGAGAAAAATATGTGAAAAAGAAGGGGAAAGAATTAGAGATGGGGGGAGACTGAGTAGACGTACGTAATAACGTACGTACGTACTTGCCAACAGGCCGAGGTGGGCCTAAGGGTAAGGAGATGATTTTTTTTCCTACTAAATCTAATGGTTATAAATAATGGGTCCACCAAATTTAATGAAAATTAACGGCTATATGTTGTTACATTTTAAGAATTTCTCTAATTTATTAGAGATGATTTTTTTTCCTACTAAATCTAATGGTTATAAATAATGGGTCCACCAAATTTAATGAAAATCAACGGTTAGATATTGTTACTTTTTAAGAATTTCTCTAATTTATTAGAGTGCCATGTGGCGGCTTGGGAGAGTTTATAAGATGCCACATGGCGGCTTAAGAGCATTTGTAGGAAGTTTAATGGACTTTTAGTATATAATAGTGTCACACCCCAATCCGGCACCGCCGCACAACGGCACTTGATAGAAGCGTGTCGTAGGAAAAACGGCGCGAACCGCTTCCTACGAAACCGCGATCTCGGTACCAGTCCCAGGACATAGTGCCGGTACCCACGGTGACAAATATGAATCATTGCAAATCCTTAAAATAAATAGATGACTTATTTACCTTAACTTAGGTTGCAGCTCAGAACAACCCGAGAATACAACCGACGACACGGACGAGGAAACACCAACAACAGCAGCAGCAGCGGAACCAACGAACTAACACCCAACACCACAGGCGACGGCTGGGAACCAGAACGAAACCCTATTCTTCACTTCACTTCATCTTCTCTTCAGGGCGGAGGAACTATATATATATTTATATAGAGCAAGGGTAAGTACTTTCGTACTCAGCAAGTCACGGGAATTTAGGTGTTTAATGCAAGCTTGGAAGAGAGGCAAGGTTGTTTTGCAAATCCTTTGTTTGAAATCATTTTTGAAATCACTAAGTGATTTACTTCTTGTTAAGTTTGGGTCAAAAAGAGACTTGCGTCTCAAATCGACTTAAGAGATGCTTTTCAACAACTCAATTGGTAATGTACCGACCTCCCGGGTCAGATCATTACTTCTCGGCTCCCAGAGCCATTTCACTTGATTAGGCGGCTCCCAGAGCCTTTTTCAATTTCTCGGACTCCCAGAGTCCAGCTGCCTAGCAGCAAAACAATCCGCTTCCACTCGGGAAGCCTAGTCTATGATGCCCGCAGACATCCCGAATCACACAGATTCGTTTCTGACCACTCAGGTCATCCATCTGCCACATAGGCTGATTCTGGTTACGATTCCCACACCACAACAACTTTTCACAAAGCACAGGCAAACAACTCTACGCAACAGGAACCACCTCACATCCGCCCATGACCGTGGGCACGGCTGTTCGAACAGTTAGTTAACCTCTGCAGAGGGGTACACTTTACCCACAAGACGCGAACTTACTCCAGACACTGGCCGGTGTCAGAGGTTCGCGACAAAACCTTTCCCAAGCCGACCCAGGGATACCTCATGCCACATAGAAGGATCAAATCCTCACATAAACATAGGTCATTTTAGGCGTTCACAAATCAAACTCCAACTACCTCGATCGGTAATTCAGCAAGCTTCTCGTTCTTGCATTAATAGGAACCCCGGCGTTAACAACTATTGGCATGCGAGGTTTCCCTGAATCGACTAGTTACTTAGCCAGGGTGTCCCATTCCACCTTGTGGTTGCACTTTGATTATGTTCGATGAGTTTCCCACAGGAATCGGTCCTTATATGCGAATACGGGACAGTGCCACATAGGCACAACCCCCGCATCGCGAGTTTTCACAATTCATTTTATTTTCAAACACACCGACACCACATGTCAGGTTTTCAAGGCTTCACAAACCCATTTCCCAAGTTTTCGACAATCAACTATGTATGTGGGATAATAGGTATATGCGCTCAGAGAGCACGAATACCGAAGTACCACAAGGGTGGAGCGACAAGGAATCAGGGTAGTACAGCCTACAGGAATTAGTGCGACTACTGGGTAGGTCCGTCGGTTTGGCACACAAACCGAGGCCAAGCAAGTTAAGTGTGTGATTCTAATAATGCAAATTACAAACAAAATAATAATGATTTTCCAATTATAGGAGCAATTGATCAAAGGGTGACTTGCCTTGCTCAAGGTCTTCACGAAGCTTCACGAATCTTCGAGAAAACCCGCGATCGACGAAAATCCGGTAACCGCAACTATACGCAAACAATCAAAAACCTAAACAAAAGACCAAAAGAAAGATCCTATTTAGACTAATTAGTAGTGCCATTAAATAGATCTCAATTTTATGGGAATACTAGAAGTTGAACGGAGTCAATCGGAGTTGCGAATTGGGTGATATGAATTTTGGAAGTTTAATTGGAGTTTCTGGAATAGGAGAAATGGTTTATGGAATTTATAGAAATAATATTCTCAAGAATATTATTGACAGTCACTGTCATGCGGGACCAAAGGAAATGGTTTATGGAATTTTGGAATAAGGAATTGATTTATGGGACAAAGGAAAAAGGATTTATTAAATCCCTGGAAAAAGAAAAGGATGGAGGGATGTTAATTGGACTTGGGCCGAGCGAAGGGGCGCGGCCCGAAGAGATGCGCGGGCGCGGCCGAGGCGAGCGGGCCGGCGCGTGGGAGGGAGGCGGCCCAAGGCCGAACGAGGCGCGGCCCACGCGACGCAAGCCGATGGACGCGGTCCACCGAGTCGGGCGCAAGGCGGGACCCACAAGGCGACGACACGGCTCACGCGAGCGGGGGTGCACGCAAGGCGGCACGTTGGATCGGTGGACCGGGAGACCTTTGACCGGTCTCCGCGGGGCCTGGCAGGTAGATGTGGCGTCCTCGTGGACAGCCACGTTGGCACGACGAGGGAGGAGGCCGGGCGGCCAATCCGACGGCTCACGGCGTGCGGTGAGTTCCGGCGAGCGGCGGCGAACCGGAGTGGGCGGCGGGCACCGGAAGTGAGAGGGGGTCAAGGCGGGATGATTCAACGGTGCGGATGAGGGAGAGGCGGCGACACGGCGGCTGGCGACGGCGGCCGTGCGGCGGCAGGATGGGTGGCACGGCGCGGCCGCAGTCGGCGAGGCGGGCGGCCGCGGTGGCGCGCCGGGGAGGTTCAAGAGGACACGGGGTGGGTCACGGCGCAAGGAATCGGCGAGAGAAGGGCCGACGGCGGCGGATTGCGGCGGCGGCCATCGCCGGCGGAAAGAAGGGGAAAATCTCGCCGATGCAACGGGAGTCCAATTCACCGGGGAAGGAGCTTCTACACGGCTTCGGGAACTCGTTTCAAGCCACGGGCGGCGATGAGCTAGCCTAGGGAGTCATGGCGACAGCGAGCGACCTCCGGGGCAGAGCAATGGCGTGCGGCGGGCTATGGCGTGCGGCAGGAGGATGGATGCGGTGGGGAGCTCACCGACGAGGGAGGAGCAGCGTTGGCGACGCGGAGGGAGTCGTGGCGAGGTGGTCGCGACGGCGGGACAGGGCGGCACCGAGTGGGCGCGGCCAGGGAACAAGAGAGGGAGACGCGAGGATGGGGGCGCCGCGGAGCTCCTCGTCGACTCCTCGTGCTCGCCGGCCTCCCGGGCACGCGCGGCAGCAGAACGAGCGACGACGGCGGCGAGCAGCCAGGCGGCAGGGGCGGCAGTGGCGCGTGGGTGTTTCGAGCGAGGCGAAGACGAAACGAGAGGGGAGGGCGCGGGCTTTATAGGCGAGGAGGAGAGGTCGGTTTGGAGGAGGGAAACCGACATTGGCGGTCAAGGGAGCTCGGCTGGTGTTCACGGGCGGCAGCGGTGGTTTCGTGGGCAGTGCGAAAGCGGCGACGGCGTGGATGCGTTGGGCGGCGAAGGCGGTGGATCGGACGGCGAAAATTGAAACGCGAGCGCAGGCTAGCAGCGTGGAGAGGTCAAGGTGGGGGCGGCGAGCTGGCGGTCATGCTCGGAGCTAGCAGCCAAGCGGCTGCAAAGGCGGTCACGGGTGTGACGCCGACTAAGGAAAAAGGTGAAAAGAGGAGGGAAACGAGCTTTGCTCCCTTGCTATTTTGGGAGGAAGGAGGATGTGAGAACGAGAGAGAGGAGCACGAGCTCTGTCTCCTGGTTTTGGAAGTATGCGGCATGGGGCATCGGGGCCGGGCGGCTGCGCGGCACAGGCGGGCCAGGGCGGCTGGCCACTGTGCAGGCGAGCGCGCGCGCGACGCCGGCGAGGGGGGGGGGTGCGGCCGGATTTCGAACGACGGCGGCGGGAAATCGGCAAAGCGGCGGTGCATAGCGCGGTGAGAGGAGAGAAAGAAAGGAAGCAGAGAGAGAGCGAGGAAAAAGAGAGGAAGAAGAGAGGCGATGCCTCTCTCTCTCTCTCGGCGCGTGCAGCGCACGTGCGGGGAGGAGGAGGAGCGGCCGAGAGGAGAGAATGGGCCGAGCAAGGGAGAAACGGCCCACAGCCAAATGGGACGCAATTTAGACTTTTTCCGAGAGAACTGATTTGGTGGGGGGGTTTTTCAATTGGAGAGAATTTGAGAAGGATTTTTGGAATTTAACCTTGATACTTTGACTTTAGAAACATAAGGTGAAGTCAAGGGAAGGATTTGAGGCGGGATTTGAATAATTCTGGATTCGTAGATGTATTTGGCGAGGATTCAAAGGAAGGATTTGAATTTCAGAATTTGATTTCAGAGACTCGAATCGGAAGAGGAATTTTCGAGGTGGAGGATTTTGATTTCGATGAGAGGGAACAACGGGATTAAATTGAGATCCTTGGCACAACTTAGACTTTCACACAAAGAACGAAAATTTTCGCTATTAGGATTTTGCCGAGTTAGTTTTTAACGACTCACGAAAAGCGGAGCGTTACAAATAGATATATAGATAGATAGATAGATAGATAAGTTGTTTTCTTGGAGTCTCAATTTAATTTTCATAATTTAATAATTCTAAAATTCATAAATAATTTAGTTGGATAACCACATCTCTTCACTATATTTTTATTATATACTTCTGTTTTAATATTTTGACCATTATAATTAACTCAATTCTATTAAGTTGGATAACCACAATTGTTCACTATTTTTTTATTAACTGGGACTTTTGTTGGCGTGGACAGTTAGTGTTTAATTATGTAGTCTAGATGGCGCACCAATAAAAGAGCAGATATATATATATATATATATATATATATATATATATATATATATATATATGACAACCAAATCTGAAAATGGGAGCCATCAATCATGAAGTATATGCTAAAAAACCCGATATATATATATATGGCCGAAAAAAAGAGACAAATATAGTTGAAGAATATAACTTGAGGAGGGAAACGCGAAATATATATATGCATGTTATAGCCATTGAGATGCATACAAAACCGCAAATGCAACTTTGACGATTAATTTGTACTAGCACGTACGGTGTGGACTAAAGTCTAAAAAGCAACCGCCAATTAATGGTTTGAAAACCAAGAATACTCATGAAGCGTGTGGCAATAATGGTGGATGTGGTATATATGTACCTCTTGTTCTGAAGGGAGTCTCGGCTTGCATGGATGAGTTGGTCTACATTGTTATCTGCATTGTACTGGACGTTGTTATAATTTTTTCCATCCAGTTGGTAGAGCATTTCCCAGAAAACTTTCTTCCTGTTATTAGGACACTGACTCACCGAAACAAAAGCTCCACATTGAAACTGGTCCCGATCCTTAAGCATGCTGTAGACTAGTTTGGCAAGAGTTGTCTTGCCTAGTCCTCCCATTCCAACTATGGACACTGTCTTCAATCGCCGCTCGAACGCACCACCCTCCAATGCCAACATCTCTATTAGCTCGGCCGCTGCCTGGTCAATCCCAACTAGGCTGTGCTGGTCGACGGACAGATCTGCAGGCAGGCGAGGAGGGTCGTAGATAGCAGAAACTCGAGGCTTATGTAGACTGTCATCTATCATGTACCGATCACGCCATTCATTTACCTCCTTGGCGCGTAACCTGATGTCTTTGATCTCGTCAAAGACCTTATGGGTTGTGGCCCTCTTGGTAATCTTAATGAGCCAGCTCGATCCCGTGCTGCTTGCTGCTTCGGTGGACGACTCAAGGCCGCCCAGGCGTACCAGGATGGTGTCGACTGCATCCTCCACGTCGTACGAGAGCTCCCGCAGCTCCAGTGCCCACAGCTTGTTGTGCCCCTGCTGCTCCGCGCGCGAATCTACCACATCGCGGAGGACTGAGTACATAATCTGTAGGTCCATCCGGAGAGAGTGGATGTCATGCTTTGCGCTCTTCGGCAGATTATGCTTGAATCCATCCTGGAGCAGCACCCCCAGCTTGGCCAGGACGCTGCCCAACGCCCCTGTCGCGACATCTATGCTCCCTCTCCGCATATGTTGATGTCTTTCTTGTGGCTGGCCGGTGAATGGCCGGCCGATGAGCAGGATGAGGCTAGGTAAAGGTTGCTGGTTGCAGCGGATTGCTAGCTAGCTATATAGCTAGTGCTTTTGGCTGATGACCATCTATCGCCTTTACATAGGACATATCTGTACTATTGCTTAATTAACGCTTGCTTGCCCATCACCTTTACATAGGAGAGCTAGTTACCAGTGACGACCGAGCAAGTCCACCACCTACTCCCTCCGTTTCAATTTATTTATCGTTCTAACAAACTAGAAAGATATATACCCCGCGTATTTGAAAAACTTATATATGCAGAATATCAACCGCATGACACCTATCATGTTTCAAAAGTAACTATTTATCTATATTTTTTCTTTATCAATATTGCTTAAACCATTTTTCCAAGCTATTTGTTAGCTTTTAAAATATATAATATTTAATTCATCCGTATGCAATTATCTATGATCTTTTAATTATGAAATTAGATTTAATATGTTTAGAAAACGTGTCTAACAAGTTAAGCATAAATTAAAACTAAGATGTTTTATTTGTTTAATTGAAAGTTTAGTGACTTTTTTTTAACAAATCATAAAGAACTATTGTTAGTAAACATGTTTTATTTGTATCATCAAATTAGTCCTCTTTTTAATTGGTTCAGATTGACGCAAGTTGTTACATACTTACATATAGATTAACAAAGACATATAAGTAGATCCTTGCTTCTTTGTAATATGTGTGATCTATAATTTATTTTCAAAGAGAAAAACAGTCAACATGAGTCCAATAATTTAAATTTAATAGTAACAAATATAACTTTTCAACCAACTGTATACTTCTACCATAGTGTGGCTTAATGTGCAGACAAACTCATAATACTATGGTATAGGATAGATGCAAGGCCAGTAATATCTAAGCATTTAAAACTTATTATGAAAATGAAACATGTAATGGTTGGTCTAATTTTAGTGAAAGTAAGAACCAATTTTTTTATGAACTTCTTTGATTTTCTCCAAATAGTTCAATTTAGCGGTAGCGCTAATCCGCGCGCTGCAGCGCGGAATCTTAGTCCGAGCGCCGCACAACGCTCCCTCCTTCCAGTTTTTCTGTTTTTTACCACCCCACCTTTCCTCCGCATCCCACCTTTCCTCAGATCGTTTTTTTTTTCATTTTTACCACCCCACCTTTCGTGTTTCCTTTTTTTCTTTTCCATCTCATCTGTGCTTGCCCAGTAAAATACTAACCATCCAAATTTTTCCGTTTTTCGTTCTTTCTCTTCAGTTTTTCAGTTTTTGTGTTTTAGTAAAACATTTACCGTCTAGTTTTTCTTTCTGAGTTTTCTGCTTTTCTAGTATCTCCCCACATTTCAAAGTAACGAATTTACTCCGTGCAGTTTTTCATTTACTCCCAGCCTCCCACATCTGCTCATTCAAAAGTAAAAAATTTACTCATATGAATGCCCCCGCATCGTACGGCACCATTCTAGATGGCCGTAAAAGAATTATTACCAACTTACAATGCTAGTAATTCTTTTACCAGTATTATAAATATTCTTTAGGTTTCGTTGTCTGCGAGTAAACAATTACCACCTTCCTCTTGATATAGCCCATGATCTCGTAGCCATCGTGTAGTAATATGTTTACTGATGTGTTCAATACACGGTATAAGAGTAAAAACTGAGACTTTGTGATCTGCGAGTAAAATAATTTTCACATTCCTCTCGATATAGCACATTATCTCGTAGCCATCATGTAGTAATATATTTTCTGATGTGATCAATACACAGTACAAGAGTAAAAGCTGATACTAAGAGTATTGTTGATCTGTATCACAGATGGCGATACGAACGAAAAAAAATTACAAGCCCAATCACACACAAGCGATAAAATGATTATGCCAAAAATCCATCATCTAGCAAGCACGAAAAGAATGCAAAAGCATTCTTGTTCATGTCATAGAGGCGACGAGCAAAAGAAAAATAGCAAACAACCTCCATCACCAGCGGACTCCATGCTATCCTCTGCGGCTAGCCACATAGAGCACGATGTGCAAATGTAGGACTCATGCATCCCATCAATTCAGACCAGAGATTGCACGTTAATTTGATTTGGAAAAAGAAATTAGGGCTTCATGCGTGAAGGTGAAGGAGAGTATGCAGATGCAAATCAGAGTGTCATTTCCTTACTTGCTTGTTCTGTTAATGTCGCCGATGTGGAGTGGGCGCCGGTTGTTGCTCTTCGCCCAGGTGAACACCTGCTTGCTGGTTAAGGTGTTGCCCGGCGTCCGGCAGCGAGGACCGAAGCAGTGCCTTCGCCTCAACCGTCAATCACCACGGTGTCGTCCTCCTCCTCCATGGTGTGTCACCGATCTGTGGGCTGGCCTGGTGGATCGATTCAAATCCGAAAAAAAAAAGAAAAAAATGAAGTGGGGGCGAGAGTGGTAGGTTGGGTACGGGAAAATAGAATATATACCGGAAGCAAAGAAGTTATTTTTATCGAAGTAAATCATTTACTTCGATAATAGTGGGAGCATGATGTGTTAGCGGCAAAACGAAAAACTATAGCTTGTCTGGCAAAACAGAAACAGAGCAACACAGAGTTTTTGGCGCTGCATTAACTGGCGGCTTTTCTGGATTAGAGCTTAACCTTAAATAGCAAATTACAAGAAAGTTAAACGTGGCCATAGTGGCCTCCTAATTGTGCGTGCCACACTCCTTGCCACTTCGCGCCATCCCACGAACTGGAGCACACCACGCACGACACCACGGACTCCGCACGAACGCAGCGTGCGTCAAGCCCACTATGCACACAAACAGGATGAACAGATCATGTGCAAGACTCAACGTAAAAACAAAGGGAAACTAACTACTCTGAGCAGCTAGACTTATTACTAACATGATGACGGGACGTGGGGTTGGATCGGAAGCAGAGAAGTTGTTTTTATCGAAGTAAATCGCTTACTCCGATAACGATGGGAGCGGGATAATGGAACGTGGGATGAGGTGGGCCTGACCTGACACATGTTTGGCGCTCAGAATCTACGCTCCTAATAGTAGTTCTATCAATTTAGTGCCTATTGATATTTTATATATTCTTAATTTTATTTTTTATCGGTTCAAAATATAGGGGTTATGGATCTTTAAATTGTTGGTTTAATTATGAATAGAGCAATAGTTAGACTAGACACAAGAATCATATGTGTAGCTTAAAAAATATGCATGTTTTAATATTATCGATTATTTCTCATTATGAAAAAGGAAGGGGTAGACGAGAGAGTGGAGAAATCGAGCTGAGAGGGCAGGGGATGGGTAGTGCTGTGTTGTGCATATGTGAGGGGAGGGTGAAGTGGAGGAGGTATTTTTTAAAAAAATGATTTAACTACAAACCAATAATCCATTGTATTTCCTAAAAATTTCTACTCTCCTTTTTTAAAATTTTAAGATGTAACACATGGTGACTTAAGATTTTCTCTAAAAGTAATGGATCCAATTGATGGTTAGATGTCTTTTCTTACAATTTCTAATGTTTCATTTTTAATTAAGACGTAACATGTGTCGCCTTAAGTGTGCTACAGAGGATGTACAATGATTTGAGATGATATAATACTCATTGTCATTTCTTTGTAATGCTTTGTTTTTTTTCTATTTGGTTGCCATGGAAAGGATAGGTGTGTATGCTCGAATGACACATTTTTATTTTTATACAGTGAAATATGAGTAATATTGATCTTGAATTATGTATTTCATTATAAATAAATGAACAATTCAAACAAACTAAAAATGGAAATAACATATGAATTATAATTTTTCATATGAACACTTCAAATCTAGTGCTGTTATTTTGATTTATTATAATATCAAAATGAGATTTTTGGAACAATACTCAGTGTTATTAGGTTCATTTACTTTTACCATTATAGATATAATTGAATTATTGTGGACTTATATACCATGACAAAATACGCATCATTATTTTTATAATTTTTAATTGTTTGAATCACACACAAAAGTGAGAAAATATAACCCTAAATATGGGTCTTTGAATGTAAAATAGTCAAAAGACATAAGCAAAAATTTATTTGTTTGATTTAGGGGATCCCATGATTTAGATGTTATATTTGCTTATTTTTTAGCATAACTTTTGCTTTCTTACTAATATATTTTGAGAACATTACTCATATTACTCGTAGTTATGTTTATTTTACTTTTATGATTGTGGATATAATTTAATTATTATGAAGTTATGCACAATGATAGAGTCTATATTATTATTATTATTATTATTATTATTATTATTATTATTATTATATATTTTTTATTATTGCTTGGTTGACAGGAAAAAGTCTGAAAATAAACTCCACAATGATATATTTTTCTCCAAATTGAATTATAGTGAAAATTTGGTATTTAGCTGGAAATTTATTCATAAATAACTTTAAAGATATCAGCGGATCAAAAAACCGTATGATTTAGGTGTTATAGTTTCTAAATTGTTTAGCACAAAATTTTTAGGAGCGTTTATAGGATGCCACGTGGCAGTTTAGGAGTATTTCAAGGAAGTTTAATGGACTTTTAGTATACAACTAGGAAGGTAGCTATAACATCCTCAAATTTTGAACCTAAAATTTGACTGCATCATGCTGGCTTTTGAATTTTATAAATTTTGAATAGTAAATTGAATTTTCTTCTCAAATTCTTTTATTCAAAATTTGGTTCAAGTATCCCTTTTGAAGATTCTTTAACCTTAGCATTTTAAGTAAATTTTCCTTCTAACATTAATAGTTAGAAAATTTCTTTGGACTCCTTTAATTATTTTGGGACCTTGGTCTAATTGGAGTTTCTCCCAAAACCCATCCAAAAACCCTAAAGAAATTCCTATCTTTTAGCTAAATTAGAGGAAATTCTCTGAAAACACTGTTCATCACACTTGAAGTGTTCGATGAAATGTCCAGCCCAACCCAGCAGCCCAATTCCTATTCAATTTGGTTAGCAAGTTTAGACTAGGTCCTTGGGGAACCATGCATAGCAAAAACCGCGGCTCGCCATCCCCTTTCCACCCCTGGTTGTGTGGGCACGACGCCGAGCCCGTGGCGCACGCGGTGCCGCCGCGCGTTGGCCTCGCGATCGTTCGCGCGCACCCAGCCGTTTTGGCGCGCCCTCAGCCGCGCAACATCCCGCGAACCGA